TGGCGCTTTCAATGGTAAAATACGAGAGAAAAATCATCGGGTGGCTTTGATAAAAATTTACTGCGGAAAATGCCATATAAAATACAAAACCGGGAATATCTGCGAAACCGTTAAAAATTTTGAAATACTCTAAATGCAAAAAATGTTCATTTTTTAATTTTCCATCTATTGAAAAAATAATATACAGGGTGTTTTCCCATTTAAAAAAACGAAGAAAAATTATTTTATATTTTTGAAAGTTTGGCGTAGAATTTTAAACATCCTGTATGATTTACGATTTCCATATTTATAGCAAAGTAAGTACAGACCATCTAAAGTAAATATCTAATATAGGTTTGATTTCAGGACAGTTCTTGTATTATTAATTATTTTTTTAAGAAAAATATATAATTTTTATTTATTTATTAATATCTCTGGAATTATCGAAATATATTTACTCATGTCTTAGAATTATGTAAAGTGATCTGAAAGGAAGCCAAAAATACAATAATATACAGGGTATTCCATTTAAAAAAAATGCATCCCGATCCACTCACACTTTTTTGAGCCACTCAATAGAAGTCAAAATATTTTCTTGAAATGCATCCTAGTACATACTTTAGGTTTGCACTTAAACGAAATTCCCAAGTTTTTTATTTTAGGAGCTACAGATGTCCGACGCACTATTGGCGGACCCTGTATATAAAAGCTCAAAGGTTTTTTTTGGTTTGGTTGCATCCATCCCGCCGAAACCGCTTTACAAATCTTGATGATTCTTTTTTTAAATGAAAGGTATATATGTGTAGATTTGTTATGAAGTATTTTTATAGTGCTTAATGGCTATTTCTTTGTGTAAAACGACTAAATACTAAAACATACCTGAAAAACACCTACACACAATACCTCCAGAAATAAATTATTTGTCATTGTCAGTGGTGTGTCAGTTAGATTATATATTACGTTTTTAGATATTTTAGGAGTGAGTTCATACCGCCAGCTTTAGTTACATAAATATTAGCACAAAGGTTCGTTTAAACGACGTTAGTGAATTAGCTACACAACGCGATTTTAGGAAATTCATCCTCTTAGAGAGTAAAATTATCTCGGAACAGTTTGTTGTATGAAAATTCCTTACTATTTGGTCTAGAAGAATGAAATCCTACAAAAAGAATTAGAAGAAATTTTTGAAATTCTTCAACCAAATGGGTAAAGTTAGTAAATAATAATAATAATAGCTCCCGTATATAGCGTTTAACGCCTTGGGAGTAGCAAGGTACAGCTTGCTATACTAGAGCCGTTCGGTATACAAGGAAGGTAATGTGGCTAGCACTACGCTTCAACCACCTATTGTTACTTCAGGATTGTGAATCCCAAGTACTCATTTAAGGCTGAGTCGACCTAGGTACCCAAACTATTTTTATTTTAATAAAAATAGTCGGCTGATGAAATGCCGGGTGTGGGAATCGAACCCACACCTTGAGACTGGTAGACGAGAGCCTGTACCTCTACGCCACCAGGCACCAAAAGTTAGTAAAAATTTATATAAAACTTGGTGACCTCTGGATTATACACATAAAAATTGGCACAAAGGTAAAGCGAATTTATGAAATTTATACACTTAGGGAGTAGAATAGGGAATGAAAGTTTGCTGTACGAAAATGCAATACTATAACATTATAAAGCAGACAGTATAAAATTTTATACAAGGGTTTATTTAGTGACATCATAACGAAATATATCTTCCTCAATTATCCTTCAAAGAATAAAAAATAACCTATAAAGAGAGTATTAGTGCTCCTAATAAATAAAAAAAGATGAAAAATAAAAAACATCTATGCTCACTAGCTCTCTATAAAGAAGTAAAAAATCGGGAAACACATAAAAATTCAAAAAATTCCAAACACAGGGTCAGCTAATTTTAACTACAAGGGCTATCATTCCATTGTATTAATGTGCCGCGGCCTTTTCTAATTTGAAGTTGAATAAAACACAAGTTTACTTAATCGGGATGAGTTGCATAGAGGACACTAGCTTTTTAATTTTAACAGCCGGGTGGTCGGGGTTCAAAGATATTAATAAAAGGGCGCCACGAGATTATACTCTATGAACTCGGCATAAAAGATGTTACTATTAAGTAGACTTCAACACTAACCTCGAACTCCTCGAACTGTTGAGTGCAACTACCATGAACTTCAATTATACTATAACTCATTGAACTTAAGTGACTCTAACTTAACCATGAGACTAGACTGCAAATAATACTACTAAAAATATTTAAGCAATTTATTGAAATATTAAAGAGTTAAATAGGATATATAAGAAAGAACAAAAGAAATGAAAATGAATGTAAACGATTGAAAATGTAAATTAATCCGACTGTAAATCAATAAGAACTAAACCTATGACGTCAAACCGCCTTATCTAACTTAATACAAGATACAAACAAGGTGGTTTACATAAATGAAATCTATATTATACTAATCTAAACTAAAATTGTACAGTCTTACTCTATTCGATTGTACTTGAAAACTTCCTCCGGCTGAGCTACGGTGTATAGCTACAGGGTGGCTACGACGGTGTACAGCAGCTCGATACAATGTCACTGGAGCCCGTCAGCAAATGTACAGGCAGGTGTAGGACTTCAAAAGGTGAACATAAAAACCCCTAAATCATATTGGTTGTCTTAGAAAAGAGCCTCAATTATAGAACAAGGACTAGTACAACGTGTAGGAGTTAATAAAAGGTAATAAAGAAGGACTAATTAAATCTGAACTTTACCTCAACGAGGGTTTATGATGTCCAACGGGTACCTCTACATGGACAACAGGATGGAATTCTGTACTGTTCTGTGCTCTACGGTCTGGATCGGTCTTCTTGCTCTTGGAACTCTACTCGGGAACTTCTTGGGCACGTGGAATCGGAATATCGGTCGGAAAAAGGCTATTTTAATCCCATTACGGAAATTGGTCGGCGGTCCATGTTAATCCCACATAATACAACCACGTCTCTAACCAAATGTGTTTCGGAAGACTTAGTCCTTCTCTAGGAAAAGACCTGCTAAATACCAACAGGGAATGCTTCACGAAACAAGTAGGCAGCTCATCACGATGATACCCGGTCGGTGGATACACAAGAAGTCATGCCAGGATTCGATTTCCTTCACAAAATCAGATTTCAACCGGAAATCTCCCTCCAGGATATAGATAGAGAACTATATATCTACTCTACTCCAACTCACAAAAAGGCATAAATAAAAAACAATGTTCTAGAATATGTTCCACTGCCATATTCCATATCCGGTCAATGAACGAACTTAACTCAGAAATTCCCACAATTAAATGATCGAATTGCACACTGCGATCCACATCAAAAATAAACAGTTTAACTACGAAATTTTATCTAGTAATTATAAAATTTCAATAACCAAAACAAAGGATAAATAAATCCAACAACATCTGATTTGATCTGACAGTGACAAGTGAAGGACAGGTGATATCAAAGATAAAGAGAGGTCGACAAAAAGTCTGCTGGGGCTCATCCAATGACAATATTGTGTAGCTGTAGCTGTATAATATCGCGGTGTATATCGGGTTGCATAATCGTAAAATTTAAATAAAATAATATTTAACAATAAAATTATAGTAAACATGATGCAAAAATAATAGTTATTTGCGATAATTTATGAGTTAGCACACAGAGGTCGTAGCGAGGAAATTTGACTGTTAGAAATGGCCTGTAGCGATGCAGATGGAATATTTACTACCATAGAAACAGGATTTGCTAGTCGAAACAGTGACGGTGGAATTTTTCGAGGATCAAGACTAGATGGCTGGAAAGGTAGGAAAGAGATGGATTGGATCTACCCACGGAGGAATAAGAGAGGGGAGATGTTACAGCTGTTGCAAAAGAGGTTCACCTAGCCGCCCGCCATCTTAGATTGTGGTACTTTTTGTAACTTGTGCATTTTTCTCGAAATTTAATGTTTTTCATCGATAATTTGAGTGTTTTCTATTACAAAAACATTTAAAACCATGGTGTTGTGTGCTGTACGCAGTTCTAGGAGCAGGAAAGGTATCGACTCGAAGAAACTCACCCGCGTAACATTTCATAGGTTAGATAAACAGTGTGCAGGTCCGTAATGACCGAATTAACGAATGAACATTAATTAGTAATTTATGCCTATTTTAAGTTTGGTGTAGTAATGCCAAGTAATTTGTTCATTGCGATACACACGATTAATATTACACAATGATTTTACATTAGCTCAAGGCAAATTTTCATCATTGTTTGTTTTTATTATTTGAAGTTTTACTTAATCAGGTCCTGTCCAAAGGGTACACTTTTGGCCCCGCCCAAACAACGAAGTGAAACTGTTTTTATCCTACAGAAATACGTGTAGTAGCGACTCCGCTTTCTTATTCCTCCGTGGATCTACCAGAACATACAGTTTTACCACATGATGAAGCTGGGCAAGAGTTCCCGCATTATTTCGTCGGTGATGAAGGTTTCCCTCTAAAACGTTATCTGATGCGGCCATATCCACAAAGGGTACTAAATAATGTAAAACGGATATTTTTAACTGCAGACTGAGCCGAGGGAGCAAAACAGTTGAATGTGCGTTTGGAATGATGTCCCTAAATTCCAGAAAACAAATCAAGTTCCATAAATTTCAAGTTCTTAAAACTGCAATCCTTTGTACGAAACCGACAACTGTAACAGATATTATCAAGCGTTGTTGTGCTTTACATAACTTTATTCGTATTAGAGAAGGACGTTTGTATCAAAATACTATGCTAATAGGAACAGAGGAAATATTTGTATTCGGCCAAGAGAAATCGTACCAGAAAATTTATTAGCGATGCCAAGACGTTCCCCACAACACTTACGAAATTATCTGGCAAATTACTTCATTAAAGACGCAGGAGCACTGCCATGGCGATGGAAATACTGCGTTGTCGAACACGAGAATTGAATCAAACTGTATAATAAATAATTATAATATACACATTTTAAAAATTTACCTGTGCTGTTTGTTTCTTCTGCAATGTCACACCAAGCTTTTTCCGTTACATCTCTTCTGGAATATTCGGATAAATTATAATTGTATAAGCAGGAATACTTCTCAATTATTTGCACAAATCTAATGTTATTTTCTTCCTCACTCATGATAATACATGTACAACGTCGATTACGGTCGCAACGAGACTGAGCATCTCAGTCGCGGGAGATCGGTTTCTTCTACGTAGCGTAGCGATCGCGTCGCCGTTGCCTTGATCTGCAGATTTCCATTTAAAACTATTTGCCGCGACTGCAAAGCTACGTCGCGTCGCGGTATCGTCGCGCGTCGCCGTCGCGTATTGCTGGTGTGATAGCCGCCTTAGTGGGATGTTATCGTACGATATCGGGCGAATACATGAGAATATCAAACAGGTTCCTTTATCTCTGCGACATCGTGCGAGCTAAAGTCAATAATTTAAATTTTAATCTAAAATAATCCATTTACAATGGACCTAGAAAAATTAATTTTGTGTGTTGAGTCAAGAAACCCCTGGTGGGACCAAACAAGCAAAGAATATCATAATACAATTATAGTAAAAAAACATTGGGAAGATGTAGCAAGGGAAATGGCGGAAACAAGTAAGTAAATATGCATTTTTATGTTTATTAAGTACAATACACAATTATTGTATAAACTTAAACAAAAAAAATCATTTAACATTATTACTCTTAGACAAAAAAATATAATACCTACATACAGGGTTTTTATGCGAGAATGCATATAGGCTATTTTTCTTGTTTTCGAATATACCTATACAAAAATGTTAAATACAAAAGTTTAAGCAAATGAAAAGGGTATATCAACGTGTATGGTATATTTAAAATCCGGAAAGAAAGATTCTTCATTTTAGACAGAAATAATAGCGTGTCCCATTTAAAAAAAACGTGTTATACCTCAAAAATACGACAGATATTTTTTGTTGATATATTCCTGAGGATACCCTTATCATTTACTAAAACTTTTGTATTTAACATTTTTGTATACAGTGAGAACGAAAAGTCGCGCATATAATGTCGATAAAAACCAAATAGATTTTTGGTTTTTATCGACACCATACATAATAATAATACATACATTAGTAGGGACATTATTATTATATTATAACTTAATTCAATACGAAGCGGTGGAATGGTAACCCATCCAGGATGCTGTGCCAACGAAAATTTTTATCTTTACTTTGAACTGTGTGAGATTTGCCGTCAAGCGGTGTTACTAGACTCGTCCTATTTATGCAGACGAGGCTGAAATATAATTCTGCAGAATAGCACTGTAGACATCGTAGTTACGCCCACGGATTCCTGCACACCTTCTAAAAAGATCAGGCCATCCTGATGGGAAGATGCGGTCCTTGCAGTTTCCACGAGCACGTCAGTATCTTGAAATTCCTCCAGTGAATATGGCTGCCGACATATTAAAGTATTGGAAAACTTCACCTTACAAATATTTAGATACTTTGGCCCTAAAGTATTTATGTATTCCTGCAACGTCAGTGCCGTCTGAAAGGTTTTTTTCACAGGCAAGTATTATAATTTCAGCTAAACGAAGTTGATTAAAGTCAAAAAATGTAAATAAAATGATTTTTGTAAACAAGAACCAAACATTTTTAAGTTTGTAAAGGAATATTTATCTATGTGATCTCTACCTCTACAGGACGAACAAAGAACTAATGTTTTTTTTTTATTGTTTTGTATTATTTATTTTTTTATTTATTTATTTATGTTAGGTGTGGAGTGTTAACCTAGACCAATAGTAATAGTGTAGTACCATACCAAACATCTTGTTTTGTAACTTGAATGATTTTTATTTTTTATTAATAAAATATAATTAATGTTTAGATACATATTTTAAAAAAAATAAAAATCGGTTTTTTAATCACACCGATTTTTTAAAAAAAAATAATATTTAAATTTATAATCGAAAAATTGATCTATCGGGGAATCGATTTTTTCCCACCTCTAATGCTCAGTCACACTGAACAATTTTTGCCTTAGTTATAATTTGTTTTACTTTTTTCTTTGGACTTATGGTGATTACGATCCAAAATTATACTAAATGAACCATCCGTAACTTAAAAAATAATAATTTAGGAATTTACTTATAATGCCTCATATCTCTGGGGTTATTTAAGTGTTTAATTAGCATCGGTTAAGGAAGATACCAGGATGTCCGATTTGACCACTTATGACCTAGCCCCAGATCACTGTGCGCCGCCCGCCTCACTTCCGTTGGAGAAAATACAGACAAGCAGAGACAAGCGACGCCGACCGACGCGCGACGTGGACGTAAATCTTAAAACAAATACCGTTTGTTATAATATCTGTCTGTCGTTGCCAACACCAAACAACAAGTAGGGCCTACGTATTATTTTTGTTAGTTGTAAAAAATTAGAGTAGAATGAAACCCATTACAAAAGGTAGATAATACAGCAATAACGAAAGGAAAAATAAATTACGGTCGATTTGAGTTTGGGAAGTGGGAGGGGGTGAGTTTTTAAGGGTAAAAATCGGTTTATCTCGATTTTCGGCGAAACTACGAGTCCTATGGAAAAAAGTTAAATGGCAAAGTTGTCGGTAATGAAAAGATCTACAACTTTTGTATTTACACTTTTTTCACATAACCTCAAAATTTATGTGAAAAATTCAAATAACCAAGTTTTTGGTTTTTTATTTTTATCTTTTACAAAAAAAAAATTTCCATGAAATTTGGTGAAAACTTACCTTTTTGTGTACCAAACATACTGTAATTTTTTTGATTTAAAATATTTATTTTTTTACCTTATTTTAATTAAATAGTAAAAAACCTCCCTAATTTTCAATAGAAAATTCACGTGTCAAAATATCCGCTTTTTTTAAAAAGTCGGTGGGCTTTTTGTTCGTTGAAATCTCTATTTTCTGATAGTGCAAAAAAAATATGCCTTGCTATGGTAAATGTTCTCAGAAAATGCAAAAAACCAAAAAAACTCGAATCCTAATTTTTTTTTAATCATTATGTTCCACTTTAAGCTTTTTTATTAAAATTAACACTTTAATTACTCGTATAACGTAAGATTCCATGTTACATTAATTAACAAAAAAATAATAAATCGAAATATACTACTATAATTAACAATCAAAGAAAAATACAGGCCAGTGAACAACATAGTTCATAAAAATACACGTGCAGGCTGAGTTAGTTTAAGAGAATTGTGACAAATTTACTTTAAATGAAACCTTTAGAATCAACATAGCAAGGTAAATATTACTTGTATTTTAATCTGTATCAATCTAAAATAAAAATAGTAATATTTGCTTTCGTAAATAGTATATTTACCGCAACATAACCTAAAAAATTATAATCGAATGATATTTCAGTACAAGATTAAAAAATTTTAACTTCGTTTATTTTGCACAAACTAATTTAGTTATACTCATGATAAAACTATGAAGGCATTATTAATTTGATTTTGTCTTTTCAGATTATCAGTATGGATAAATCTGTTGTATAATTTGCAATAAGGCAGATGATAAGCCAGCGTGTGAAATAAAAAAAAAACAGCTTTGAACCGTTTAGTGGAGTCTAGCAGGAAAAGAATCGATAATAAACACAAAAAATTTGAGACTTTGACGTCAGCATTTATTCATCGAACTTGTCAAAGTCAATATAATAGTGAGACTGCGATAGCTTCGTTCTGTACTTCAAAATACAGAAAATCACAGGAAGGAAAAGAAATAAACAAAGACGCTCTTAAACTTAATTTTCAATATCATTGTTTTCTCTGTGGTAGGTTTTTCGGAAATATTTCAAAAGAAAAAGTTTCATCTGTTCAAAGTAACGATACAAGAGATAAGTAACGATACAAGAGATAAGAGACAATATATTCAAAAACAAAACACATTGAATGATATAGATAAAAAATGTTTAGCCCGTTTGAAAAATGTGCCTGATTTAGTCGCAGTAAAGGCGCATTATCACAGTGCTTGTATTTCTGCTTTTTATAATAAAAGGACTGAAAGGAAAAGGGGTCGCTCAGCATGTGAAGACACGAAGAATTTTATTAATTATATCATTAACAACGAAACAGAATGCCAATTTTCCGTCAATGAAATAAAAGAAAGTTTTTCAGGAGATCTCCCAGACTACACAACTATTAAGACCAAATTGAAAGAGCATTTTCAGAACGATATCGAGTGTCATTTAATTAAAAGAGACATGATAATTTTATTCAAAAATGGTACTGCAAGTAAGAAACTCTGCAAAGATTGGTACGAAAAAAGATTAAAAAGTAAAGAAGACGAACGAAGTAGAATTGTTCAAATGGCTGCTGAAATTGTTTTGGAAGATATACGTTCTAAAGTATACGATATGACATATTACGAAATTCCAGATTTAAATGAAGGTGATCTATTTAAGAATGTTCCTGAAACGTTGAAAGTTTTTTTGAATATTGTGTGTAAAAGTAATAAAGAAAAGAGTACAAATAATGTTCGTAGGATGGATAAAAAAGTGGCCACAATGTCTCATTGCATCATCACATCTGTAAGGCCACGTTCTTTTTTATCTCCTATTTTACTTGGTCTGTCGTCAATGATACACAAAAAATATGCCTCTAAAGGATTGATTGACTCATTATCTAATTTGGGTTTGTGTTCTTCATATAAAGAAACTTTACGCTTTGAAGCATCGATTATCAAGGACCCTGCAAATCATACGATTTCTCCAGATTCATACGTTCAATTTGTTTATGACAATGCGGATCATAATACATGCACGATTGATGGCAAGAATACTTTCAATGCAATGGGTGGAATAATGGTTGTTACTCCCGCGTCTAGTGTCACTTCAAAGTAAACCATCTCTAGATTATAAGAGATTCCATCTTCTGAGGAGATAGGCGAAATCGGATTTGTGAAATTGAAGCATTTTGAAAACAAAAATTCTGATGGATTGAAAATGTTCAAATTGAAGATATTTTAGATCTTACGGACAACTATGAAATTTCTTCTGCAGATTTTACATGGTCTTATTCAAAATTTGCAAACAGCAAATCCGATGGTTGGAATGGGTTCATGGAGAAGTTACATACTAATTCGACTTATCATACTTCAAAAATTATTCCTGTGCCATTTAT